AAGACAGGAGTCCACACATAGCACAGGCTCCAAGTCAAACAGTAGATAACATTTAGATTTGAACTTTTTTGGACTAGTAAGTCTCAATATATCATGTATCTGAATTTATGGTTGGTAAGCAAAGAGGTAAAAGCAGAGTTACCTCAATTGCTGCATCAGAGGCATCAAATGAATCGTAACTAATGAAACCAAAACCCCGGGAATTCCCTGTCTCGGGGTCTCGCATAATCTGGAAGAAAAGATACTACATCAGAATATAACAAAGACCACCTATAAATGGCAAGTAAACTATGTGGTCCTAGTAAAATGTATGCATTGTTACTTCTTAAAAAAAACCAATACATGCATAGTTTGTCATTCAAGCTGGTTTAGCATGTTGAAATGACTTGCTGTCTATGTAACATGACAGCACTTTCCCCTACATATTTCCAGTATCCATAGAGATTCATTTAATCTTGTAAAAAATCCAACAAGTGCAATGTTGCTTTGCCTGTCGGCAAAGATGGAGTAGTACATATCTGGTCAGATCTGCCGTTATGGGAAGAAGATACAATCAATCGACCAATCAACTACACCTCAGCCCTAAATTAGTTACAGTTGGCTGAATGAATTGTCACACACAAAAAGATAAAGAGTTGTGGTGGCGGAAGAGGAAAAAATGAGCTTCCATCCATGCAGGGGGAGGATGAACTATTTCCTATTTTGCCTGGTGATGTGATTCTAGATGCAACAACAATAAACTCAACCAAAATCAAACAAGCACAATAAGATTATTAGGAGTTAAAAACATAAACTATAGCCTGGCTACAAAATAGGCGAGAATTAATCAAACACAGATTGAGCTGTTCTTTTTCTTTACTAAGTAGGAAGTCCATACAGCAGCAAAATGAAGAATCATGAATCATAAGAAAAATAACGTTAACCTTTGGATTTGAGACAACAACTCCAAAAGCACTAAAAGTGTCGTAAAGAAGCTTCTCATCTACATCCTGCATATAAAACAGAAATGGGTTTATAAGTTAATAAAAGTGCTAGCATGAGCAAGGTGATATAATATGCAGATTTTGCTGTTATCCAATGTCCACAACCAGATGCATTTGATTTGAGAAGAACACAAGAGTTCGTAAGATACTATCAAGGATGTGAATTGCTTACAGGATCAAGGTTCCCAACAAACAAGTTGGCACCAACATCAACACTCTTTTTATCTTGTGATGCCTGTACCAGGATACATTATTAGATTAAATAAAATGTGAAATATTCATTATAATAAGGGTAAATGCATCAATGGCATAGCATTACCTTATTTACACGTATTGGTTTCCCATAAAGTTTTATCATATTCAGTACCTTTATTGCCTGCATTGGTAGTGCATTAGATAGAGAAAGCAACAAATACCAAAAACAAATCCATGGGGACAAACATATAATAGATAACAACTTCAGCAAGTAAAAATACTGTGACAAGAAAAACAACCAATACACTTACATAGTCAGCATCTTCTTCACTTCGGAATTCCACAAATCCGTATCCCTGATGAGCATTCGTAACTCTGTCCTTGGGGACATAAACATTTACTGCAACACACATTGATTTATATAGCAAACAAGTGAGATATAAAAGAATCTAAAAATCTCCAAAAATTAAAAAAAGGCTAAGAGGATGCTGATGAAAATTTAAAACAGTGTTAAAATAACTTTATCATTATTCCCCTTTTAAAGAGGCCATCTATTCAGTTAAAATAGACATACCTACTGGACCTGCTTGAACAAACAACTCCCATAACAACTCTTCAGTAATCTACCAATCAACCAAAGAAAAACATTTAGTAACCTGAATCTAGAAAAAAAATCTCAATTTTCTGAGTTACTTCTATCCTGAAAGCAACAAAGAAATAGGAAAAAAAATCAGTGAGGAGCTTGTGGCAGAGGACATCAGTATAAAAAAAATAACTATGAATCAAACCCCACCAGCTCATTTTTCATGGAGTTAAATTTCAGCGAGTTATAAAATGAACTGAACCATTTGACTCTGGTCTTTCTTATTTGTTAGATGTTTACGGACAAGACTTTCGAGAAGTTTTTGTGTAGAGGGAAAAGATTTTACAATTTCCCAAGTGATACCGAGTCTCTGTGTTGCGTTTGAATCAGCTGTTCTTTTCTATTAGTATAATAATTTCGTAACTATTCCTATTACAGACATTGTGAAACTGCACCAGAAGCGTCAACGAAGAAGAAAAACCCTAGGATTAGAAGGAAAGAGAGATACCTGAGGGTCGAGATTGCCGACATAGGCGGTGGCGTCTTGGTTGCGCTCCGCCGCGTGTTGGCCGAGAAGGTTTGCTCCGACCCCCGGAGCTATTCGTGTCGTCATACTCCGCTCTGTCTCTCTCACGCTGCTTCGCTTAGCAACTTGCTTCTACATAGCTAGGAGAATTAAAGAAGACCAAGAAAGAAAGAAAAACGGCGACAAAATGACAAAAATGACCCTTATAGACAGATTCTCCTTTTCTTTTTTTCTTGTGTTTGTGGAGTTTCTGAATCACAAAAATGTTGTCTATAGATGAAAAAGGATTTCATATTTTGGTTAAATTTAAGGGAAAAATTATATATAATAGCAAACTATTAATTTAAATTAAATGTCATAAATATAGTTTGATTTAATTGTACCTCATAGCAAACTGTTGTTATTTCACCTCCCTCCTAGTGAATCTCACTCGCCACTCTCGTTTTTTATACAAACGCAAGTGTATAAAGTGCATTTGTGTTTGTATAAAGCGAGAGAAAAGTGTATATGTACATATATTTTTGTTCCCCTCTCTCCCCTCTCCCAGATCTCGCTCTCTCACTCGCCTCTCTCACTTTATACAAAAAACACAAATTGTAGAAAATGCGTTTGTGTTTGTATAAAGTGAGAAAATTGTATATATACATATATTTTCGTTCCCCTCTCTCCCCTCACCCAGATCTCGCTCGCCACTCTCCCAGATCTCGCTCTCTCACTCGCCTCTCTCACTTTATACAATTGATCTTTTTGTATATGTATACAAAAACAGATTATACAACTGTTTTTTTT